TACACTCCAAAACCAAGCACATAGATATCCGCTTTCATTTCCTACGCGACCACTATGAGAAACGGGATATTGACCTTTGCTACGTTGACACCCAAAACCAAATTGTAGATATCCTCACAAAACCCCTCTACCTAGCAACCTTTGCCCGCTTGCGAGGGGAGTTGGGTGTTTGCTTCCCTTTCTAGAGGAGGGAAGCTTTGGATCTTGTACACTAGTTTTAGGTTCTTTTTTGTAGTTTACCTTTTGGTTTTGGCTTTTGTATCCTATTGCATTGCATGGCATCATGTAGGATAGAGCATTTTTTGGGGGGCTTCAAGAATATAGCTGTTAGAATAAAATTATGCTCTCTTTGGTATGTTCTGCGTACATGATGGTGCTTATAGCTTAGGCTCTTTTGATCACTTGATACATGTTATGAGCTAAGCTTGTTTTATAACTTGTGAACATGATTAACCACTGTTGAAACATGAAAATTTGTTCACCGCTGAGATTGGCAACTAGCATGTATAGGATTTGTTGAGATCCCTTTTGCTATCACTTATATGCTAAGTTGCTATGTCTCTTGCTTTGTGTCATTCCCTTGGATTATCTTTGAAATACTTGTGCTAAAATTTGAATCCAAGTTAAGTAAATTAAAAGATCAAGATGGATCTGTATTGTCCCACCTCAAGGTATCGGGACGGCTTCCTATTGCACTTAGGATGAACCTGAGTCTTGTAGTAGATGACTGAAACCATTGCTTTGAGCTCCTGATTGTCACATGACATAGGCTCCGCATGGTTGAAAAGTTAGGCTTGACAGTACCGATAACCTCTCGCAATCATATGCTTTAACAAATTCTTGTGTTAAGCTGCGAACTCCGATAAAATTTAAATTTGATGAAAACACAAGTCTTAGTTTCGTCTTTGGCATGTTGATTGACCAATGTTTGAGGTAGTTCACCTTGTATACACTTGTTAGCACTAGGTTGAATTCCTGCTTATATCAGCTATGTGCTACTTTCAGTGGTGAACCCCATCTTGAATTGCTTAAAACTGATAAAAAATGCTTAACTGTCGTATTTCGTTTCACTTGATCAGTTTGAGCACTTGCTAGCACTTGTATTTGTTGCTACACTCATATAACAACACCAGCTAGAGCATTCTTTCATTCTGATTGATATACTCCTGAAGCTTCTACATTTTCTGCATCCCTGTGCATTTTCAGCATACTTTGAGGGAGAGTTGCAGTCTTTGGGCTTTAGCTTGATAAGTGCATGTATCAACAAGGGGGAGAATGATTCACACAAACCACCCAAAGGAGAGTATGTTGTTGAGAGTACATACTTTTGAGAGATTGCATTTGTTCAGGAGGAGTTGCATTTGAGTTGCTTTCGCTAAATGTGTTGAGTCCTTACCTCTTCTGGAGGGTTAGCGGTTTTCAGGTGTTTTGAACTTTGCTAGTGGTGTTGAGCCCGTTCTGCCTCTTCTTGAGGGCTAATCGTCTTTTACTTTGCGTTGAGCCATTGCACATGTCTTTGAAGACAAGTTTTTGCAAGAGTTCAGGCAGCTGTCCAGGCAAGAACGGGACCTGGGCAAGGAGCTCAAGGGCTTGACGCTGGGCCTAGCATCGCTGCAGAGAACCATTGCACGTCAAAGGTCGGGGTCGAGATTCCTCAGGGAGGGAGACGCCAATACCAAGTTTTTTCACATGCAGGAAGAACTTTATTCCGACAATTCAGCATGACGGGGTAACATTCAGCTCTGAAGAGGCAAAGTCCGACATACTGTTCTCCTACTACAACAAAATTCTTGGCACGAGGTTCAGCAGGCATCATCGTTTGGACCTCGAGCGGCTGCAGCTGCCCAGGCTGGACCTGCACGATCAAGATGTGTGTTTTCTGTGCAAGAAATCTGGAAGATAGTCAATGAGACACCCAGGGATCGTGCACCTGGGCCTGACGGGTACACCGGCCAGTTCTTCAAGGTGGCCTGGGAGGTTATTCGACCTGATATTGTGGCTGTTTTCACAGCTTTCTGGTCGCCGGACTCACGGAGTCTATACTTGCTGAATGACGCACTGATGGTTTTGTTGAGAAAGTGCCAATCACCATCAGGCTTAAAGGATTATACGTTCCCCTATTAGTTTGATACATAGTGTCAGCAAGCTAATATCCAAGGGCCTGGCCATGCGTCTCGCACCAAGAATGTCTGAACTGGTGCATCACAACCAATCCGCCTTCATCAAGGGAAGAAGGATCCATAACAATTTCAGACAAGTGCAACTGACTTGCCGCTGGTTACACGTCAAGCAGTGCCCCTGCATCCTCCTGAAAATCGACATCGCCAAGGCTTTCGATTCTGTTGCTTGGCCTTTCTTGTTTGAGGTGCTTGAAAGGGTCGGTTTCTCTTCGCGATGGCGAGACTGGATTGCCTCTCTTCTGAGCTCAGCTAGTACCAAAGTGCTGTCCAACGGTAGACCGGGGAGGCGTATCTGCCATGCCCGCGGACTGCGGCAAGGAGACCCGTTGTCGCCCCTCCTGTTCGTCATCGTCATGGAAGTTTTGAACGCTTGAGTCCGATCGCTGTGGTCTGCTGTCGCCTTTGCCTGGCACCAGAATCAAGCACAGTGCATCCATCTACGCGGACGACCTTGTTGTGTCCCTCAACCCAACACCGCAAGATTTTGCCTGCATTCGGTCGGTGCTTGACCTCTTTGCTGGTGCATCAGGGTTGATGACTAACTTGGAAAATGCCAGATAACACCGATCAGGTGCTCTGACGCCCAAATCGCAGAGGTGCAGCAAGCGTTCCCGTGCCAGTTGAGCTCCTTCCCCTTCAAGTACCTGGGCGCCCCCCTTTCCCTAGCCAGGCTACGACGCCAGGATGAGCAGCCGCTCGTTGATGCAGTGGCAGCTAGAATCCCGGGATGGAAGGCAGGATTGCTAACAACAGCAGGAAGGGTGACGCTGACGCAATCCACATTATCGGCTATCAGTGTCCATGTTTCAATCTCCTGCTGCCTATCGGCATGGGCTATCAGCGAAATTGATAAGAAGAGGCGAGCATTCCTGTGGTGCGGTTCCGATGTCGTTGTCCCGGGACGCTGCAAGGTCGCGTGGCGCGTGGTCTGTGCGCCGAGGATTTTCGGCGGTCTGGGCATTCGTGACCTTCGGGTTGCTGGATATGCTCTCAGGTTGCGTTGGGAATGGCTCAACCGGACGGAATCGACAGCAACGTGTAGCACGCTGCCTTCTACGACTGAGCGGATTGTCAAGTCGATGTTCGCGGCTTCAGTGACTGTCGCTCTTGGGGATGGCTGCTCTGCAAGGTTTTGGACAGACTCCTGGCTGCCCGAGGGGCCGATCTCTGTCTTCGCGCCGGACTTGTTTCGCGCGGTGAGGAAGATTTGCCACAAGAAGACTGTCCGTGAAGCCTTGCACCAGCGCCGTTGGGTCCGGCACATTTCTGGTGCCCTGACTGCGCCGGTGCTGTGCGATTATGTGCGGGTCTGGGAGTTAGTCGAAGAAGTGCAAGTACAGCAAACAGTCTCCGACAGGTTTATTTGGAAATGGAGCTCGAATGGCAAATACACTGCTTCGTCAGCATATCGGTCTTTCTTAGTTGGGATGACTTCGATGCTAGGAGCAAGGGAGATCTGGAGAGCGACCGTTCCGCCGCGGGTCAAGCTTTTCTTCTGGTTAGCAATGCATGGACGCCTATGGACCGGGGCGCGTCGGAAGCGCCATGGCCTGCAAGATGATGATTCGTGTGCACTCTGTGACCAGTCCAGTGAGTCTACTGATCACCTGTTCCTGTCATGTGTGTACACGAGAGAGGTTTGGGCCATCTTTCTACGGCAGCTTGGGCTGGGGACTCTGAACCAAAGCGTGGACGATGAGCTGGTTCCGTGGTGGCAGCAGTCCAGACAGATAATTCCGACCTCCTTCAGGAGGGGTTTCCATTCTCTTGTCATGCTGATTTCTTGGATGGGTCTGGAAGGAGAGGAACCATCGGGTATTCGAAAACACTAATCTCAGGCCGGCGCAGTTAGCTGATCTCATCATTCAAGAGGCCAACGATTGGGTAGCAGCGGGCATGTCGGGCCTGTCGCCGCTAGTTGCTCGGGGAGCAAGCTAGTGGACCTCTCCTGCAGTCGCGATTTGGTTGTCAAGATGTAGCGCTACGATGAGTCCTTTTCTTTTCTGTGTTGTGTTTGCCTCTTGTTCGGCATCACCAAATGCGGGCATCTCGCTCGTATGACCGTGATGCTTTGTAACCCCTGCTACCCACTTAATGAAATACATGCATAGGCCTGTTGGCCAAAAAAATGTTCGTCGGTTCCGATACGGGAAGGTGGGGGAGGAGACACGACTATAGGTACGAATAAATAAGGTTTAAATCAAACTCTTAACAGAAATGGCATTTCGTCTAGTGGTACGATTCTCGCTTAATTAGGGTGCAAGAGGTCCCGAGTTCAATTCTCGGAATGCGCCCTAATTTTACATTTTTACGAATTTTGTCGAATTAAAACTTACAAATGCACCTCTATCTCTTGAGATCTCCTATCTCTTCCTGACATGCTGTTTATTTTTCATTTTACGAATTTTGTCAAATCAAAACCTAAAAATGCACCTCTATCTCTTCGAGACATGCTGTTTTCTCTCAGGCATGAGTTTTCCCCTTCTTTTTAATTTATTTATTTTTAATAATAATAATATAACTTATATATATATTTCTTTTCTTTCCTTCAATTGGGAACACGTTCCCCAGCAGCCAGCCCATCCATGTCACCCCAAGTTGGCTCAGCCATCCGATTCCGCGATCGACGGTGCAGGCTGTCTCTACCGGTTGCCACTGTGCACGCATCAAAATATCTTCTCCCTCCTCTCTCTCTCTCTTTCCGTCTCGACTCTTCCAGTCTTCCCTTCCCCTCCCTCTCCCTCGCTCCTCGTCACGAGAGCAGCGGCTGTTTGGCCATGGCGGGCCCCCTGGCTGGCGGCGCGCCACCACCGCTGAGCCATGAGCTGCGCCTCCCCCCTTCTCGCCCGCCCGGCCCTCGTGCAGGCGCTGGGCTGCACAGCTGCTGCAGTGGCTGGGCGTGGCGGCCTGGCATGTGGTGCTGGTGGCACGGGCTCCACGGGCTTGGCTGAAGGGCCCCGCCGGTGACTCGCGCAGCAGTGTCCCCCGATGCGGCTTCCTCCCGTCGGCCGCGCTCTTGTTCTCCAGAACCCGTAGCTGCCTATGCTCCACCCGGCTGCTGCGTGGGCTCTTCCTCGACGGAGGTGGCGGCGGCGGCGGCTCAGCTCGGGCCTGCGACGTAAGGCGGTACCTAGATGATCTCACGTGAAAGTAGAACATAGTAAGAACGGCATTAACATAGATATGACATGGTATAGCCCATTGTTCCTCTGGGGATCTCCATCTCCATCGAACTGTTCCTCATGATGATCTCCATTTCCATGATCCATGTATGCCATCCTTCAGTGATGAGTCCACCAAGACTAGCTATCACTAACGCAAGGCAGTGAAGAAGATTACATAGTCGCGGATAGGATCATCACAGTTTGGCACGCAGGCCATTACATCAAATTGACAATATCTTTGTGGCTTCAGCCATATTGTCATACTCACAACATGCAAGCCATGAATTAATTATATACATGCATCACATACACATAAGGGCTATACCAGTCACAAATTCTTGCAAAACAGAGTTAACCGATTCCAACGTCTAATCTTAAAACGCCGAAAACACCATCTTCCCGGCCATTTTTCGCAAATCTAATTTCGGCAAAACTGGCAAAGCCGGTGAGAATCGGATGTAAAATTTCCTGTACATCAATTTTCATATAAAATTCGTCTCAATCCGTATGCAAAAGTTATGGCTGTTTTACCGAACAACACTTTTTTCTTGCACCCCGGCGCCCGGCAGTAGATCCAATCTATCACCGCTGCGCATCACATGCGCTCGGCACTTGACCTAGGTTCGATTCGATCAATCTGATTGATCTCCATCTTGCCATGACTAGATTTACATGTATCACTTAACTCAGATGGCGGAATTCCGACCGGTACGAGTAGATCGTTACAAGACCAACACAGTAAAATCACGAACCATGATCAGAGACTCATCTACAACCGTGCATATCTCCATACACACTCATCCGAACCTATAACAACGCAGTAACGTCTCTGATACCACTGTAGGGTTATGAGGATGCTACGCTAGCCGGAAAACAAAAATTTCAACCTCATAAACCAGGATCTACTGCTAGTTATAGATCACGGGATTACCACTAGACGCGCAGGTGCAGCGGAAGCGACTCGATGTAGTCGTACGCGTCGTAGCAGTGCCGTGCAGTTGCGAGGTCGTCCGTCCGTCCGTCCCCTTCGTGCGGTTCGTCCTTGTGTTCCAGATGCAGCACCTCCGAGGTATCCATACGTACAGGGAGGAAGCGTTGCGCCTCTGGACTGCTAGGTCCGCGAGGAGCAGCAGGCGCGGGCGTAGGATGGGCGGCGGCGGCTGCCAAAAGGCGTGGGATAACCTAGCCTCGTCGTCCACCCCACATATTTATAGGCGTCCCTAATGAGCTCCCGAGTTGGAGGCCCATTAGTAACCCTAAGCCTTGTCTAACTCGGATCCAATCTGAATTAGGCTTTCAGCCCTTTAAGCGTGCGACCCTATGGGTTCACGCACACATAGACATGGCCCGAGTACTTCTACTCGGCCATTAGTTGATAGCGGCCTCTATCAAGGCATGTCAACTCCTATGCGTACGCAAAGATCATATCAGACGAACCACCACAAAACCACATACTTGTTATTCCCTTGCCTCACGATATTTGGTCCAACTCATAGGTACACAGTTAACCAAAGCACGACCATGCATTTCTTGATCTAATCATTAGAGTGATCTAGTGATATCTCTCTCATATAGAGAGGGGCAAATTTCATCTTGATTGTCTATGTCTCATAGCATGTTTCTCGACAAACCCAAAACACCACATTTATAACTACCCTGTTACGGAGTAGCGTTTGATAGTCCCCGAGTAGGTCGTTTCACATCTTGAATACATACAACAATCTCAGGTCTAAGGACATAACGTACATGATGTGAATAGAGATAATAACAACATCTCACATTGGGTCAGTCCAGCCCCATGTCATACATGTGCCCACATTATTAGCTTGACATCTTCATGTCCATGACTTGTGAAACATAGTCATCAGCTAATACATGTACTAGTCTAATATTCATGTGTGTCCTCACATGAACTCCGACTAGGGACAACTTTAGAATAACCATACAAGTAAAGAGTTTCACATACAATTCACATAATTGCAAATCAATTCAAGTAGCATTTAATGGATATTCAAGGAACACAATATAAAACATGGATACAATGGAATATCATCATCTCTATGATTGCCTCTAGGGCATATCTCCAACATCTTATATGTTAAAGAGAGGAGGAAATGATCCCTTAAAAGCAACCAGTCTAAATCCACTAGAAGATCAAAGGGGTTGTAATACTGAAAAAAAGGATCGCCCAATCAAACTTGGATAATGACCATATAAAGAATATGCAGCTAGCCCTCGTCACAACCTAGGCCCAGTTCTTCGAGCTTTTTGGCTCCAGCATGACCCCCAAAGTCTCAACTCCTCCTTGAAGAATTGATGTGCAACTTGCAAGGAGGGGGAGACGGCAGAAAAAAACATATTTGTTTCTATGATTCAATAAAATCTAGGCCCCCAACATCACAGCGCTATTAAATCCCTTCCTTTGAGCTTTGTCAATGTGACGACTTGCTTTTATCCACCAATCAGCAATGCTTGATTCAGATCCGTGGTACTTCTAATTGTGTGATTGAGCAAACCATGTGAAGAGCTGTTCCAAATGAATAAAGTTTCACATGGATCTATCTTTGTAATATGTGCATCTCAATAGTTTCTTTATCCTTTGTGGTTTATAGGTATTATTACAGAAGTGATGGATTCCAAACTGTCTTTATTTTTCTGTGCAACTAATGGATTTCTTATTTACAGACCCTTTGGCCAAACGGTATATTCTTCACCAAGTTGGATGGATATAAATGGAATGCAGGCACAAGTCAATTTGGCAAGCAGTCATTAGGGAGTCCTAACCAGGCTGTTGGCAACAAAAAGAGCAGCACAAGCTCTTTTGAACTTCAGCTTGAGGCATCCAGAAATGCCAGTGAGGTCAAAAAACTTCTTTTAGGTTAGTCTATTGACTGTTTTGGGCTCATGGCATTTTTTTTTTCTTTCTATTTATGTTCTCCTGAAAATGTTAGGATGATGTATGTTTGCGACACTACATGACTATATGTGGTGTACGAACATGCTAGTTATGTTTGTGTGTGCAGCAGTAATAACTCTGAATATATGATCCATAGGTGATGTCTTCATTGCCTTCAGTGTGTGTGTGTGTGTGGGGGGGGGGGGGGGGGTCACTTAGAAGTAAAAAAGGAAAACATCATTGCTGTATTTTCTTCCAGACTTCCTAAGAAAGGCACCACTTAGGAAACACATCTAGAACTTGAGCTGTTACCTCATGTTTATATCTGTCTATCACATGCCTTCAGTACCATGCCATTTAACTAACATAATTTGCTCCTCTGGAAGGTGAAAAGTAATGACTTGCAATTTGCAATGCCCTTTCAGATGGAACTCCATCTACCTTGGTCAGCATAATTGGATACAAGCAGTACCGACGCAGCGCAAGGGACATGTACTACTTCCTCCAAGTAAGTAAAACTCAAAATCCCTGTAATCTATGCTCTATGATTGGACATCATTCTGATCTCCACGCATTAACGATGTGCTGTAGTCCAACGTCTGCATCAAGCAGCTCGCGTATGCAATGCTAGAGCAGGTCCTCGTGACAGTCTTCCCAGAACTTCGGCAGCTAATAGACGACATACATGAGAAGGGGCGCAAAGACCAAGCCTCATTCACATACCAACTCTGACCCAAGAGACTGTCAGGATAAACATGCTACTTCAGAGAGAGTCGTAACAGTTTTGAACGCACTTGCATTGCTCCACGGTGAGTTACTGAAACACAAAGGCTTTGCAATTGTATTTCCATGGTGCAAATTGAGGAAGCGCTCGGTGCTTAACGAAGCTTATACCCCAGCAATGATCTGTAGTTCTGTACAGATGTATATCAGAAGTGTAAATTAGCCCCCTGATGTAGTAAACCAGAACAACTTACAGTAAGATCTTGTAGGTGTTGAATGTATGGTATCATTCTTTAATTCTTTCCCCCAAGATTTAAGCTATTCTCTCCCTGTCTTAGGCTGAGGCTTGTAAAGTTTTGAAGGTTCAAGTGTATAGCTGTACTGTATGTGTTGCTGAGTAAATCAAATTGTTGTACGAGATGCCACCTCGGTTTTCACAATATTTGTCCGGTCTGCATACTTAGGAGGCAAAAGGTATGTAATTCTTTTTTTTACCAAATTAAGTGATTCTTTATTGTTTTGGATAAAATATAACTACTATAGTATCCAAACAGCGCAAATTTACTTTCATTTTATTAAATATTACTCAGATATTATGCTGTCTAGGTACGTGTATCAGTGTCAGCCAAATTCTGTGAAAGGAGCGAGTAATAATACTGTAAGAGAGAGCATGTATGTCCGTGTCTGATGATTCCCATGGGCATATATGCTTATGAAACATACGTGCTCCCTCCGTCCATTTTTAAATCTTTTGGCACTTGATAAAAAAACCCTATTTGCACGTAAAGATGCACGGACTCCGGGTAGCGCGTATCTTCTTCCGTGCCCGTATCCTTCGGCCAATATAAAGGTGGAAGGGCGGAGAAAAAATAAAGAGTAGAAAAAGGGTTCCTGATGCAAATATACAAGAGAGAAAGAATATATAAAAGTGGTTAGGATAATTTAGATATAGTATATGATTCCTGATGTAAAATTGTCATCTATATTTTAAGAGTGAATTATTGGAACTGTTGGAGATGATCTTAGGGCCTGTTTGGTTCCCTCTCCTAGAGTTTAGTCACTGTCACATCGGATGTTTAGACACTAATTTGGAATGTTAAACATAGACTAATTACAAAACTAATTGCATAGATTGAGACTAATTTACGAGACGAATCTATTAAATCTAATTAGCCCATGATTCGACAATGTGATGCTACAGTAATCATGTGCTAATGATGTGCTAATTAGGCTTAATAGATTCGTCTCGTGAATTAGTCACAGCTTCTGTAATTAGTTTTATAATTAGCTCATATTTAGTCCTTCTAATTAGTATTCGAACAACCGATGTGACACCTACTAAACTTTTGTCGCTGGATCAAACACTCTCTTGTTTATTCCTCCCAATACTTTTTGGCGAGTTGAAAAACTCTATGGTTTTGGAAAGAAATTCTTGGGAACTCTTGGAGATGCTCTTAGTTAGTAATTCTACCAACAGATTTAATGGTATGTGCCATTATTTTGGAGCGTAGAGATCACATTGGATTTCCACAGTAAGAGGCGCATTAGAGATTATCTGGTGGATCCGGGTAGCGGCATGATGACAACTAATAAGATAAGGTAAACCTCTCGTGCATCTAGTGTCCCCTAATAGGTAGCTCCATCTACATGCATCTTGTGACATGTGCTTTCGGTGAAAGTCGAAAATGGCCGGCCAGTGCTCGGGTGCTGCTGACCCGCTGGCATCATGATAATATCATAACAAAAAAAATATTTGTGATAAAGCTATAGGGAGAGACCTTTTTCATCTAATTTGAAGCAGATGCTCCTCTTGGAAAAAATACTGAGGTCCTATTTTAATCCATATTGAAAGCATTTAGGCCCCTAGTTGGGTTTCGGTGATTAATGACAATACGTAATTACTATGACTAACGTGTGTTTTGTAGAGGCAATTAAGTTAGGTCATGTTAATGGAGATCGATTGGGTAATAATGGTTGTCATGCCCCTACATGGAAACCGTTTTGGTTTTCAAAGGATGGACGACGAGGTTAAGGATGGACTAGTTCTAAGTGTCGTTTGGTGTTCAAGAGACACTTAGAGTAGTTTAGGACTTTGTTTTTCCTTTGGCCGTATTATTAAGGGGGTATGGATGGATAGCTTGACCTAGGTGAGTCTAGTGGGTTAGGTGTGGTGCACACTTGCTAAAACTAGCACTAGGTAGCTCCTAAAAAGCCCTTAGATCCATTGGAGCAAACTTCATTCACGTATGATTGAGAGTTGAAAGTGAATGGAGGGTCAAATACTGAACGGACGCTGGTTCCGGTATGACCGGACGTTGGCGCAGAGTCTGGTCAGTTCATTTGATCAAGGTGATTTCGTCTGGCACGACCGGACGCTGAGACATGAAGTGACCGGACGCTGAGAGCCAGCGTCCGGTCAACTCCAGTAAGGTTCCAAAGAAGGAAAATCGCGACCGGACGCGTCCGGTCAATGCTGACTAGACGCTGTCCAGCGTCCGGTCAACTCCAGTAAGGTTCTAGAGAAGGAAAATCGTGACCGGACGCGTCCGGTCAACTCCAGTAAGGTTCCAGAGAGGGAAAAACTTGACGTGTCCAGTCACAACTTAAATACTGTATGGCGGGGAGAACTGACCGGAGCGTCCGGTCAACCCGTAGAGGCACATAACAGTTCGTTTCGAACTCGGGTGTATAAATACTTTCTCCATTCGTGTGTGGGGGGACTTTTGCTCATTCCAACAGCTGAGAAACATCTTTGAGAGTGCCAAGAAGATCAATGTCCTAGTGAGGTGATTGAGATTTGAGAATCCCAAAGAGAGCCCTCATTAGTAAAAGCAAGAGTAGCAAAGTGTGCATCCACCCTTCTCATTAGGCTTGTCGTGGTCAAGTGAGAGTTTATGCTTGTTACTCATAGTGATCGCCATCACCTAGATGGCTTGGTGGTGATTGGGAGCTTGGTGATCATCCGGTGGAGCGTGTGGATGACCCAACTCAAGTTGTGAGCGGTTGTGGGTGATTCACCGCGACGGAGTGTCAAAGAATCATCCCGTAGAGAGCACTTGATCCTTGCGCGGATCAAGGGGGAGCTACACCCTTGCGCGGGTGCTCCAACAAGGACTAGTGGGGAGTGACGACTCTCTGATATCTCGACAATACATCGCCGCGTTCCTCCTTCTCTCTTTACTTTGAGCATTTACTTTGAGCAATTCAATTCTTGTCTTTACATTCATAGAATTGCCATGCTACAGTAGGATTGAAACTTAGGTTGCAAGACTTTTTGTGCGGTAGAACATTAGAAACACTTTCTAGGCACAAAGGGTGAAGTTGGGCTAACCATAGGGTTTAATTATTGCAAAGAAATTTAGAATTAGCCCAATTCACCCCCCCCTCTTGGGTAAAGAAATTTAGAATTTAGATTTCAAGCTAATCCTAAGAAAACTCATTTGATTGTCGTTAAAAGAATCCTTAGGTATCTTAAGCACACACCAAGCATTGGTCTTTAGGATCCTAAAGGAGCTATATTTGAATTGGTTGGCTATTTCGATTCGGGTTATGCCAGTTGCAAAGTTGATAGAAAAAGCACATCCGGAGGGTGCCATTTGCTTAGTAGATCACTTGTGTCTTGGTCCTCTAAGAAGCAAAATAGTGTGGCTTTGTCCACCGTCGAAGCGGAATACATTGCCGCGGGTGCTTGTTGTGCACAAATACTTTACATGAAACAAACTTTGCTAGACTATGGTGTAGTTCTAGAAAAAGTACCTCTTTTGTGCGACAATGAAAGTACGGTAAAACTTGCAAATAATCCAGTTCAACACTCTCGCACCAAGCACATAGATATCCGCCATCACTTTCTTAGAGATCATGTTGCAAAGAATGATATTTCATTAGAAGGTGTAAGGACCGAGGATCAATTGGAGAATATCTTCACTAAACTGCTAGATGAGGTGACTTTTTGTCGATTGCGGAATGAGCTCAATGTTCTTGATTTTAGCAACTTCACTAGAAAATGAGCTTGTGTTGTCCCTTGCACTGCATTGTAATATACAACATGTTTTCATTATGGTAATGCACTTAGGGCTTGTCTAACATGGTTAAGATAACCGCCGTAAAGCATGTGAAAAAGTTAAACTTTGATCAAACTTGACAAGCAACTAGAATTATTTTCAAGTATTGCATTGCATATGCATGAAAGTTTCTTTGTTGTTTATCTTCAATTGCCCTCTTATTGCCTATTTTCTTCAAAAGACTTATAGCCTAAGGCAAAATATTTTTGAAAAAAATTGAGGGTTTGAGAGAGGTCACTCACATCAGTCTCAATTGATGTTTATTTGGATCTTATTGAAGTTGGGACTCGATTGGGAACAAGCAGTGCGAAGGACATTGAAAAATTGCTGAAGAAGAGTGACCGGATGCTCCACCGGACTCTGATGTCTAGCGTTCGATCAGTTCACAGGTGGTGAACCTGTGCTGCAGAGAAGCGACCGGACGCTGGAACAGTGTTCTCCCTGCTTCCGGTCAGAAGGTGATCCCGCATCCGGTCAAACAAAGAAGACAATGTCAGGATCGACCGGACTCTGGCTGCGTCTAGTCGTGATTCTAGGGGTTTTGAACCTCTCTGGAATCGACCGGACTCTGGGTGGCAGCGTCCGGTCGTTGCCACCAGAGCGTCCGGTCAGTAGAAAACGTGCGGTTTCAGGACTTCTTCTTCGTTTCCTTTTCTGTCAACTCGGGGCCACCTTTTTTAGCCGCAGCGCCGCATTGACCTAATCCCTCATCCCATATTGTGCCATCATCGCCGCAGCTCCCTAGTCGTCGAGTCCACAGCTCGTCGCGCTGCCCTGCTCCCACGCCTACACCGCCGCGACCTCGCCCCGCGCTCGTGCGCTGCTCCCGCGCCCACGCCTCCGCGCCAGCGCCACCTCGCACCCATGAGCCGCCGTGCAGCACCACTGCGTCCACGCTGTCTGCCCGCAGTCGCACCGCCGCACCTTGCTCGCGCTGTGCCCGCGCCG